AATAATAAAATAATAATAATAATAATAATAATACCACAATAGGCCGGGCATGGTGGCTCATGCCTGTAATCCTAGCACTTTAGGAGGCCAAGGTGGGTGGATCACCTGAGGTCAGGAATTCCAGACCAGCCTGGCCAACATGACAAAACCCCAACTCTACTAAAACGACAAAAATTAGCTGGCTATGGTGGTGAACACCTGTAAGCTACTCAGGAGGCTGGGGCAGGAGAATCACCTGAACCTGAGAGGTGGAGGTTGCAGTAAGCCGAGATCGTGCCACTGCACTCCAGCCTGGGCGACAGAGCAAGACCCTGTCTCAAAAAAAGGAAATATTAAAAAAAGGCAGGAAAGGGGTGCTGCTATCACCCCGTTTCACAGATAGGGAGGCTGAGAGACTTGTCCCAGGTGAAGGATGGGACTTGCACTCATGTCCCATGGACTTCAAGACCCGCTGAACTCCTTGCCCCATATTAGAGCATGAAGCACCCGCCCTGCGAACACTCACTCTGTGCCACAGTGTTGGGTGCTCCACTAAGTATCATTCCACTCAAGCCTCAGCCTGAGAATTGTCATTGCCAATTAGAGATGAAGACATGAGGCCCGGGGGGATGACTTAGTGCACGGCTGGTGCACAACCTGGACCTGAACCTCCATCTTTGCACTATCCAGCCTGAGTGAGCCTCCCACTTGGAGTTGCCTCCTCAGAATGCCTCCCCGGTCCTCTGCACCCTCAGTGACTTTCCCTGCCTTGGCCTGCTCTGCACTGGGTCCCTTTCAAGGTCCCAGACACCACTGGATCAGTGTCTCTCTCCGACCAAGTAGTGAGCTCCTCTCAGGCAGTGAGGCCCCTGTGCCCGTGGCCTACCCCTTACTGGGTGCCAGCAGGGATCTGCAGGGTCGGCGGGTGAATGGACAAATCAGTGAGTGGGTGGAGGAAGTTCACTGATCCACTCAACAAGTTTACTCAGCCGGGCGCAGTGGCTCATGCCTGTCATCTCAGCACTTTGGGAGGCTGAGACAGGTGGATTGCTTGAGGTCAGGAGTTTGAGACCAGCCTGACCAACATGGTGAAACCCTGTCTCTATGAAAAATACAAAAAAATTACCTGAGTGTGGTGGCACACACCTGTAGTCCCAGTTACTTGGGAGGCTGAGGCAGGATAATCGCTGGAACCCGAGAGGCGGAGGTTGCAGTGAGCCGAGATCGTGACACTGCACTCCAGCCTGGGCGACAGAGTGAGACTCCGTCTCAAAAGAACAAAACAAAACAAAAAATGTTTACTGAGTGGCCACTGTAAAGCAGATGCTGTGGTGCTGGGCACCAGGGACACAGCACTGACTAAAAACAGACCCAAACCTCCTGGCCTTGGGAGCTCTCATTCAAGGGAAGGAAAGAGAGGATCACAGAGGAAGGCCACTGGGCCCCACACCTCCAATCCCTCCTCCCCGTGGCCTCCCACATCCTACCATCACAACAGACCCACATTGGGACCTCCACCTCTGAGGGCTGACATGGAGCCTTAACCATCAGTCATACAACAGGACAAGCCTGGCTGGGGCCCGTAACTGGGCTCTAGAACCACAGGGCCAGGCACCACTCTGGGGATGGTCTGTCCACGGCATTTCAATAAAGGCAGCAGCATGCTTTTCAAACAGAGAAGCCCCTTGGCTTACTCTCTGGGCAGGGCGACAAAGTGTGGCCTCACGACTCTGGGAGGAATCCTAATAAAGAAATGCAGTAGTGAGCATGTAAGTGAATAAATCCCAGGATTACAGCTGTCTTGTCTCCCGCCCCATGGAACCGTAGAGAGCCAGCTCTTCACACCCTTCTCTGGTCTTGGTCACCAGTTCTCAGCCTGAACTCCTAGAAGGGAGGTCTCCAGCCCAAGGACCCACTTAGAACAAAGACAGCAGTAATGGGTGTTAATACTGCTGCCCAGCCCTTGACCTCACAAGTTAAGTTTTGGCCTCCCTCTGTCTGTGATGCTCACAGTTATCCTTCTGGCTCTTCAGCCCCCTTATCCTCATCCCTAGACCATGGGAGGGATGAGGAACGGGAGGCACTAGCAGCAATGGCTGCTCCTGGACTCTGACTCTGCACTTTCCTGTTTTGTTTTGTTGACATGGAGTTTCACTCTTGTTGCCCAGGCTGGAGTGCAATGGCGCGATCTCGGCTCACTGCAACCTCCACCTCCCGGGTTCAAGTCATTCTCGTGCCTCAGCCTCCCGAGTAACTGGGATTATAGATACCCGGCCACCACGCCCACCTACTTTTTTGTATTTTTAGTAGAAACAGGGTTTCACCATGTTGGCCAGGCTGGTCTTGAACTCCTGACCTCAGGTGATCCACCCATCTCGGCCTCCCAAACTGCTGGGATTACAAGCGTGAGCCACCGCGCCTGGCCTGGTTTTGTTTTTTTGACACAGGATCTTGGACCCAGGCTGGAGTGCAGTGCCATGATCATAGCTCAATGCAGCCTTAATCTTCCAGGCTCAAGCAATCCCACTGGCCTCAGCCTCCCCAGTAGCTGGGACTACAGGAGAGCACCACCATGCTTGGCTAACTTTTTAATTTTTTTAGTAGAGATGAAGTCTTGCTCAGTTGCCCAGGTTTGTCTCCAACTCCTGAGCTCAAATGATTCTCTTACCTTGGCCTCCCAAAGTGATGGGATTACAGGCATGAGCCATTGTGCCCAGCCTGCTTTCTTGTTTACAACTTATGATGATCAACTGTTCAGTCAACAAACACCAAGCGAGCCTGCCCCATGCCTAGCCCTATCCTGGGCACCGAGGACACAAGCAAACCGAACCCTTCTGGTGTGGCTGGAGGCAGATGCCCAATGGGCACAGGTGCAGCTGGGCTGAAGGGGCTGCAAAGCTTCTACCAGAGGTTGGGGAAGCAGGGAAGGCTTCTTGAAAGAGGCAGCCATTGAGGTGACTGAGCTTCATAGTAGGAGCAAGAGTGGTTCCTTTGGCCAGGTGCAGTGGCTCACGCATGTTATCCCAGCCCTGTGGGAGGCTGAGGCGGGTGGATCACCTGAGGTCAGGAGTTCGAGACCAGCCTGACCAACATGGTGAAACCCTGTATCTACTGAAAATACAAAAAAATTGCTGGGCGTGGTGGTGCACGCTTGTAGTCACAGCTACTTGGAAGGCTGAGGCAGGAGAATTGCTTGAACCCGGGAGGTGTAGGTTGCAGTGAGCCCAGATTGTGCCACCGCACTCCAACCTGGGTAGGAAAAAAAAAAAAAAAAAGAAAGAAAAAAGGGGTGGGTTGGGGAGCAGACAGGCAGAGGACTGAAAGCCTGAAGGCCTGAGCAAGTTGTGGGTTCTAGGGGTCCACCCCTCACCCACCAAACCTGTCTTCCCCTTCGTGGTTTCTCCAGCCCCGCCCTCACACCCTCCTCCTCCATCTGCACGGCTTCCTGCCTCCATGCCTCTCCAGACTGCACCAGCATGGCACTGACTACCCACCCCTCCTGCCTCCTGGCACTGTTGGTGGCAGGCCTAGCCCAAGGCATCAGAGGCTCCCTTAGGGCCCAGGTAAGTGCTCCCAAAACCTTACAGCTGCCAGTCCCACGCCTGGGGCCACCCCTTCAGAAACAGCTGGCCTGTCATTCTCATTTTTCAGAGAGAGTCACTGAGGTTGGAGAGGGGGCTGACGTGCCCAAGGGCCCATGGGAAGACAGAGAAGGCTAACTGGCTGACCCCTAGCCCAGTCCTTGCACGGCTAGGAGCTAAGGTGGGGCCCCAGCAATGATTCCTCTGCCCACTGCCCCTCTCTACCCTTGGTTCCTTGCCAGGACCTCGGTCCTCAGCCGCTGGAGCTGAAAGAGGCCTTCAAGCTGTTCCAGATCCAGTTCAACCGGAGTTACTTGAGCCCAGAAGGTATCACAGGGCACATACATCTCCACTCCAAGCCCCCACTTTTTTTTTGAGACGGAGTTTCACTCTTGTTGACCAGGCTGGAGTGCAATGGCCTCATCTTGGCTCACTGCAACCTCCTCCCGGGTTCAAGCGATTCTCCTGCTTCAGCCTCTAAGTAGTTGGGATTACAGGCATGTACCACCACACTTGACTTTTATATTTTTAGTAGAGACAGGGTTTTACCATGTTGGCCAGGCTGGTCTTGAACTCCTGACCTCGGGTGATCCACCTGCCTCAGCCTCCCAAAGGACTGGGATTACAGGTGTGAGCCACCGAGCCCAGCCATCCCACTTTGTAATAGATGAAAAACTTGAAGCTCAGGGTGGGGAACAGGCATGGCCAAGGTCACTCAGCAGGACAGGGCAGGGCTGGGCCTGTGCTCCCTGGTTTCCTGAAAGCATGAGTGGGTCCAGGATCATTCTTTGCTATGGATCTGGAGGGCAGTGGCAGCGGGTGAGGTCCTGCCCTAGTCCTACGTGATGCCCTGGCTCCGCAGTCACTTCCCTGTGATTCCAGGCAGTGGGCAGGGGGCCACCACCTAGTCATTCGTTCATTCAGCAAACACCCAAGGACACCCATTTTGTCCCCACGTTGGGGACTTCTTCTCTAGCCCATGATCTAACCCCTGCCCCTGCCCTCTCGCTGTACTGATCTTTCTAGGGGGCTGGTCTGCGTGTGCCTTTTAGCCCAGGCTGCCCGTGCCGTCGTCTCCTCTCCCCGTCATGTTCCAGCTCTCCTCCTGTGGTCAGAGGTGTAAAGGAGGTGGCCTGGCAGGAAGCTGGTCTCTGGCCACACATCCTTTCCTTGAGTCACCACCACCAGACCCCTTACCTGGCTTCCTACCCAGGGTGGCCAGAGATGGTCCTCTCGCTGCCTCTGGGGAAAACCCAACCCTAGGTGGGCTGGGGAACCACTTCCTGGGCCTGGGTATCTGCAGTGGGGCCTTGTAGGAGCTACACGAAAGGAGCCAGTGCTCAACTGGGTGGGTGTGGGTGGAAGGGTGCCCAGCCAGTGGCTACTTCCTGCCCCTGAGGGTTTGGGAGTCAGCCTAGGACAACTCCCTCTTGGTCCAGAGCATGCTCGCCGCCTGGACATCTTTGCCCACAACCTGGCCCAGGCTCAGCGGCTGCAGGAGGAGGACTTGGGCACAGCTGAGTTTGGGGTGACTCCATTCAGTGACCTCACAGGTACCATTAACCTTTCTGGCCTGTAGGTGGTGGTTGGGGAAACGGTCTCCCCAGGGACACTGGCAGCTGGACCCAGTGGACCTTCAATTTTCACTTCCCAGGGAAGGAAATTCATTTCCCTGAGGACCAGGGGCTTGGGTGCTGGTATCAAATCACCCAGTGCAGGGGCAGAATCTCTGTAGCCCTGTGTCCTAGCCCAGCCTAGGGGCCAGCACAGCAGCTACACGGAAGCACCCAGCAGGGAGTCCAGCCTCTCTAGGCTCAGCATCCCTGCCTTTTTGAGACAGGGTCTTGCTCTGTTGTCCAGGCTGCAGCACAATGGTGCAATCACAGCTCACTCAGCCTCTACCTCCTAGACTCAAGCAATTCCCCCAACCTCTCAGCCTTCTAAGTAGCTGGGACTATAAGCCCGCACAACCACACCCAGCTAATTTTTCTACTTTTTGTGGAGATGGGGTCTTGGACTCCTGACCTCAAGTGATCCATCTGCCTTGGCCTCCCAAAGTGCTGGGATTATAGGCGTGAGCCACCACACCCGACCTATCTTTGCCTTTTTGCCCCTCAGGGCATTATGGGACCAACAGCTGGAGTGGGAGAGGCAGAACAGGGAGAAGGGGTCAAAACAGAGACCTCAGTGGCCCTGTCTGTTCCCCAGAGGAGGAGTTTGGCCAGCTCTACGGGTATCGGAGGGCAGCTGGAAGGGTTCCCGGCATGGGCAGAGAGATAGGGTCCGAAGAACCAGAGGAGTCAGTGCCTTTCACCTGTGACTGGCGGAAGGTGGCCGGTGCCATCTCACCCATCAAGGACCAGGTATCTGCCCCTACCCAGCTCGCTCTAATTCAGCTAAGTGGTGGGAAGGAGAGGGGCCTGGCCCGAACACCTAGCCCCGCCTCACCCTCTCACCCTCCAGAAAAACTGCAACTGCTGCTGGGCCATGGCAGCGGCAGGCAACATAGAGGCCCTGTGGCGCGTCAATTTCTGGGATTTCGTGGATGTCTCCGTGCAGGGTAGGGCTGACAGAGGGTGCAGGTGTGACAGGGGAGGGAGGCCTAGGGGCCTGGTCACCCACACTGTCCCTTCTTGCACCAGAACTGCTGGACTGTGGTCGCTGTGGGGATGGCTGCCGTGGTGGCTTCGTCTGGGACGCGTTCATAACTGTTCTCAACAACAGTGAGTGCACTGCCCCGCCACCCTGTGCATCTGCAGGGGGACAGGGTGGGCAGGAGCGGAGCCTCCTCCCTTGTCTTGCTTATCTGCAGGCGGCCTGGCCAGTGAAAAGGACTACCCGTTCCAGGGCAAAGTCAGAGCCCAAGGGTGCCACGCCAAGAAGTACCACAAGGTGGCCTGGATCCAGGACTTCATCATGCTGCAGAACAGCGAGCACAGTGCGGGCAGGGCAGGGACATGGGCGGACGGCAGGGACAGACACCGGGGCAGAGGCAGACACACTGGGTGACTGGGCTAGAAGACAAGAGGGGGTGGGAGGAGCGAAGGAGCGAGAGAGAAACCGACACGCCCACATGCCAAGGGTCTGATGATGCTCCCGTCCCCAGGAATTGCCCAGTACCTGGCCACTTACGGCCCCATCACCGTGACCATCAACATGAAGCCCCTGCAGGTGGGATGGGAGAGCTGGCGGGGGAGGGGAATACAGGGGACTTGGCCCTACACTCAGCCCCTCCGCCCCCACCCCCTGCAGCTATACCGGAAAGGTGTGATCAAGGCCACACCCACCACCTGTGACCCCCAGCTTGTGGACCACTCTGTCCTGCTGGTGGGTTTTGGCAGCCTCAAGTCAGAGGGGATATGGGCAGAGACAGTCTCATCACAGTCTCAGCCTCAGCCTCCACACCCCACCCCATACTGGATCCTGAAGAACTCCTGGGGCGCCCAGTGGGGAGAGAAGGTGAGTGTGATCTACTGGGGGAGGGGCAAGGCAGAACAGGCCTCTTCCCACCTTCCCACCCCTGTGTCCCCTAACCTCCTAGGGCTACTTCCGGCTGCACCGAGGGAGCAATACCTGTGGCATCACCAGGTTCCCGCTCACTGCCCGTGTGCAGAAACCGGATGTGAAGCCCCGAGTCTCCTGCCCTCCCTGAACCCACCTGGCCCCCTCAGCTCTGTCCTGTTAGGCCAGCTGCCTCCTCGCCAGCCCTACCCCCAGGTTTTTGCTCATCTTCCCAATCTCAATACAGCCTGAATAAACCAAGACAAGACCTCTGGCTTGTGAGTGGACTCTTCTGGTGGATGGGCGGAGCACAGTCACCATTCCCTGAGATATGTCCCAGTTCCCAAGAGGCCACTGTAAATGTCCATCCTTGTACACGGACACCAGGTGCTCAGAGACAGACACAGGCACATCTGCACGCCCCCCACCTGCTCCCCGGAGCGAGGACCAGTCTCCAAACTCAGGGCAACTTTATTGTCAGTGTGGGCGGGACATTGGGAGGGGCCTCAGTCATGATAGAGGCGCAGGAGGCAGCCGCGGAGGGTGCCCATGTAGCGGTCCCAGAGGGCCTGGTGTCTGTAAGAACATGAACAGTGACAGCTGAGTTTTCACAACACTCACCATGGTGGAGGCCCTGCCCTGAGTGCTTTCTACACCTTCATTCATTTTGCCCTTAGAAAATTCTTACAGTTCTTCTCATGATGAACCCCAGTTTGTATACGAGGAAACTGAGGCATGGAGAGGTTAAGAAACCTGCCCCAAATCACACAGCTTCTAAGAGGGGGAGCCAGAGCTTTGGTCCTACCCCCAGGGTAGTAGAATGAGGAACCTTGAGTCTGCGGGAGGTGAGGTCCTGGCAGGTGGCAGGCTGGGGCAAGGCCAAGCTAGACAGGAGGACAGGACTGCTCACCGGAAGCCATCGAGGGAGTGGACAGACGCTGAATACTGATTCAGGAAGAACCGCACGTCGCTGAGTGGCCAGTGGTCGGAGCGGCAGGGTTCCACAAACTGTGGGCCCAAGAGAATACTTAGCACTCGTCTAGGCCGGGAACAGGCCAGGTTGGGTGTCAGAAGGCACGACAGCTCACCTTCTCCACGAGGTCCACAAACAGGTCTCTGACATCTTTATTGTGAGTCAGCTTGGCGGCCACGTTCACCAGCCCCCGGGACAGGTTCTGTGGGGCAGGGATCCTTGGAGTTCTGCTTTCTGCCCCAGAAGTTGGGAGCTGAGCACAGAAGCTGGGGGAGGAGTAGGTCCCTCCCCAGATCCATCCACCTCCCTCCATCAACCAAGTCCCCATTGTCTATGAGCTGCTCCCGTCAGCAGCCACCGTCAGCAGCCACCAGAGGGAGCAGCAGCGCCACCTGCCGGCCAGTCTCTGGGAGGGGCAGAGTTGCCCAGTAGAGGTGGCGAACTGGAGGCTGACGATGCCAAAGGCCAGAGGCTGGATGGGACCACAGACCTTGAAGTTGGCTTCCATCTCAGAGAAGACGCCCAGCTTTCCCCGGAGAGCAGTGCACACCAGGCTGCAGAGACAGGGTCACACCTATAGCCACCTGGGCCCCTACTGCAGGCCCTGCCCCATGGCCCCCTACAAGGTCACCTCTTGTGCAGGTCCAGAAGGTCCTTGTCAGCCACTAGCACCTTGAGTTCCTTCAAGTCCTGGAGAAATTCCTTGTCTAAGTCCATGTCCATGTCATCCATCTGCGAGTCTATGAGGCCATGAAGGGGGTTGCGGTGGGTGATAAAATCCCCTTCTGGGATAGCCTAAGCCTTTCCTCACCCAATACTTCATTTCCCCCCTAGGGACAGAAGAGGAAATGGAGTGTCAGAGAGATGCAGTGACATGCCCCGGGCCACAGAGAGGCAATAGGCCCTCTGTCTGCAGACAAGCTGTGTGTGGGAAAACATTCTATGGGCAAGGCAGCCTGGGTGTGGGCCGCGAACAGGAGCGAATGCTGGGAACTGGGGGCCTGTGGGAGAAACTACTGGTGGGGAATCAGGTCCTGAGGATGGGGAGACATCCAGGCACCTAGGTCAATGGGGGCCTCACCGACGGCTCCAAGGGTCCAGTTTTGGATCATGAGCTCAGCGCAGAAGGCAAAGTCACCGAAGCTCAGATACTGCAGTTTTTTCTTCCCTGTCTCAAAGCGGTTGTTAGCAAAGAAGACGATGGCTGCATAGTCCCTACACAGAAGAGAGGAGGGTCCTCAGGGCTTGAAATTCCTTCTTAGGCCGGGCGCGGTGGCTCAAGCCTGTAATCCCAGCACTTTGGGAGGCCGAGACGGGCGGATCACGAGGTCAGGAGATCGAGACCATCCTGGCTAACACGGTGAAACCCCGTCTCTACTAAAAAATACAAAAAACTAGCCGGGCGAGGTGGCGGGCATCTGTGTTCCCAGCTACTCGGGAGGCTGAGGCAGGAGAATGGCGTAAACCCAGAAGGCAGAGCTTGCAGTGAGCTGAGATCTGGCCACGGCACTCCAGCCCGGGCGACAGAGCCAGACTCCTTCTCAAAAAAAAAAAAAAAAAAAAAATCCTTCTTAGGAAGCAGCTGCAACCTCAGCTGGGTGTCCGAGTTCTGGCCTCTCTCCGCCTCAAGTTGCTGTGTGACATGTCTCAAGTCACTTCTCTACGCCCTTTCCCCATCTGTGCGAAGAGAAGGTTCCAGCCCAAGTTTCCTAGTGCATACAGTGGGAGACCATAAGGGTAACAGTTACTATTTACTGAGCACTTCCTAAGTGCCAGGGCTGTGCCATGGCTTTACATATGGCATCTCTCAACAGCCCAACTGGAAATCGCTGGACTGTGCTTTGCATCCAGGTCAGTCTGGTCCAAAGTACAGACCAAGTTGGGTGCGGTGGCTCAAGCCTGTAATCCCAGCTACTCGGGAGGCTGAGGCAGGAGAATTGCTTGAACCGGGAGGCAGAGGTTGCAGTGAGCCGAGATTGCACCATTGCATTCCAACCTGGGCAACAAGAGTGAAACTCCGTCTCAAAAAAAAAAAAAAAAAAGTACAGACCAAAAGTGGGATAATCACTCCCCCAGCATACTAAGGAGGTCAGAAGGGTTGGGGTAGGGAAGGTGGACAAGCCTCAGGGCCCAGGGAAGTAGTGTGCAGGATGGGGAGGTGGCTAGCTCCTCACCTGGCCAACCGGTCAGAGAGGAGAAAGTGTTGCTGAATATTGTCCACCAGGGAGCCCCGCATTTCCTCTACCACCTTGAAGACTCGCTTAAAGTTGTCAAACTGCAGGGCAGTTAGGGTAGATAGAAGAGAGGACTGGTCAGAGTGTCCACCATGTCGCTCACCCAATAAACCACTTACTGAACATCCCTCCCTTCCCCATCCACCTATCCAGTCGGCAAGTGCTGATTTAGCATCTGTTATTCCTTCAACCAACTATTGGTTATTAGTACTTGTTATCAACTCAAATGCTTAGCAGCTCCTGCCGTATCTTGCCTTGGATAAATGTTTACTCAATCTTATCTCTAAATCCAACCCCATTTTAGCACCATGCTCTCCAGATCCTCACAAGTTTGAGTTGGAACAGACTTTCCTGGCTAAGCCCCAGGAACTAAAAAATAAAAAACAAATGCTAAGCTATAAACAGAAAGCTCACAGGAGATACAAAAGAAAGGCATCAAAGGCCCAGAAGGGTTACTTCTTCCTGGCGTACCAAAAAGGCTTGTGGAGAAGGTGGCATCTCATCTCCTGTCTTGGATTTCAAGATGTAGATATTGCCAAGAACAGTACCCTCCAGGCAGAGCAACATGAGTAAAGGAAAGCCTGGGGGCTGGAGAAATGTAAGCCTAGAGAGGTCTGCAGGGACAAGATCACAGGACAGTCTATAGGTCAAAGCCAAGAAGTGCAGCTGCTACCCAGGACGCAGTGGGAGCCCAAAGTCAGATCTGGGCTTCTGAAAGGTCACTCTGGCCATACAGTACAGGATAGCTTGGAAGGAGCAACAGGGAGCCAGGCACAGTGGCTCACGCCTGTAATCCCAGCATTTTACGAGGCCAAGGCAGATGATCACTTGAGGCCAGGAGTTCAAGACAAGCCTGGCCAACATGGTGAAACCCCGTCTTTACTAACAATACAAAAATTAGCCGGGTGTGGTGGCAGATGCCTGTAATCTCAGCTACTGCAGAGGCTGAGGCACAAGAATCGCCTGAACTCAGTAGGCGGAGGTTGCAGTGAGCCGAGATCACACCACTGCACTCCAGCCTGGGGCACAGAGCAAGACTCTGTCTCAAAAAGGAAAAAAAAAAAAAGGGGGGGGAAAGGGGAAGGGAGGAGAAGACTAGGTATGAAGCTGCTGCCACAGTCAGGCTGGAGCTGGGGCAGTGGTCAAAGGGAGCGAGTGAAGTGCAAATGGGATGCTGTGTCTGTGTGGGTGCAGTGCCCACCTGTCTCCGGCAGCTCTTGAGGGTGATGCCTGTTTTGGTGCTGATGTCATCCAGGTCTTTCTTGGTGCCTTTGGACAGCTTCTTGCCCAGCACCTCCCGAACAAAGGCCTCATCAAAGGCATAGTACCTTGTGGAGTCAGACAACACCATTGACCCCCCATAAAAGAGAGAAAAGGGGGGCTGGCGGGGCCTGGCAGGGCCTGGGTCTGACCCCTTCTGCTCTCAACTTTCTGATGGCTGGGTAAGTCCCATCCCTCCCTGGGCCTGTTTCAGCTGGGAAAATGGGTATACAGTCAGACTGGTTGATGTCTCCACCATCCCACAGGGTGAGCACCTCTCGATGAGTAGTGCCTGCCGGGAGGGCGGAATCTGGAAGATGAGCTGGTGCAGTAGCTTGGGTGGTGCGTGCAGCAGCCGCTCGAGCATGTGGAAGGTGCGGTAATGGTCCATGGTGTCGCTCTGCAGCACCGCTGCCGTGGCGCCCGTCTGCTCCAGGATTCCCGAGCGCACCCGCAGGGCCACCGCGTCGGTCACTGGAAATTGGGCGCTAGCATCAGGTCCCGCCCCGCCGACGCCAGAAGCCCTTAAGGGATTCCATCCCCGATCCCTATAACACCCCTTATTCCCAGGCGCTCGCCCACTTCCCTAAAGGATGACCAAGTCCTAGCCCCGCCCCCTCTCCCATTCAAAACAACCGCTCCGCTGACGGGCTTCCCCACACGCCCCTGACGGACCCGAGTAACCATCGAGCCAGAGGCGATACACGTCCTCGTCGATAAGGGTAGTGTTCCCCACGAAGATGTCCAGCTCGCTGGTCATGGCGACGCCCGGGGCCGCAGCGGCCCGAGCAGGAGGGAGCACCGCT